ATTCCGGCCTGGTAGGGGTTGTGTTGACCAAATCTTCACACTGCGTCAGGTGCTAGAACAACGTCATACGTATAAGCGACCCATGATTCTAGTATTCCTGGATTTCCGAGGACCATTCGACTCGGTTGACCGGTCTGTTCTTCTTGAGACGCTTGCCCACCAAGGAGTGCCCCGGAGGTTTGTAAATGTAATACGTTCATTGTATTCTCAGACTTCCGGACGTGTGAGAGTGTACGGAGAGCTCTCCAAAAGCTTCCGTGCACAAAGCGGCGTCCGTCAGTGATGCCCACTCTCCATTCCTTAAATTCGTGATCGATGGAATAATGAGACGAATGATTAGGAAACCTGAACCGAACTGAAAGTATAGTACTGCACCTGATGCGACTGAATTTTCGATTGAGTTACTGATCTATATTTTGTTCTGCTCTCCTTTAGGTTCCACACTTTTAGCTTGCAATTGAGATGGGTAAAGCTTCTCGTAGTTTTGCGCGCCGAAAAATTTACTTTTTGCGGGTTCGGAGGTTTTGCCGAATCCTCCAGTCGGTGAAAACTGAAGGTCTTTTACAGCAATGGCTGGGTCCTCAGGCCCATGCACTTTTGGCATCCCCAGGTAAGACTATTTCTTTCCCACCTTGCTAGATTCACGCTGCATTCCCTCAAGTCAACCGTTATTTGTATGTAGTCTACTTCGTTTCGCTCACCGGGTGTTAAAATTCATCTAGTGCTTCTTCATGCGGCTAATTAGACAAGCTTAAGGTCATTTTTCATCGATTTATCAAATTGTCGAATTCCACAGGGATAAATACTTCCTTTTTACCTTGCTGTTCATCTTGTGCCGAGATAATGTCCGTGTCCTTTCTGAACTCCCCGTTTCGTCTGAGGTTTATTTTTGTTCGTTTGCTAGAAATCGCTTTTCTGGAACTCATGCGTCACTCTGTTTGATCAGGCTGAAAATATCTTCAGAGTTCGCCAAGTCTGTTGTTTTCGTACTGTTATCAATAGTAGTAGTACATTACAAACTCTTGCTTCACGCAACTCTAATGCCGCGGCAGTAGTTTTAAAGTTAGATGTCACTTGGATTCCACGTTTAGGGACATAGTATGATTTTTTCACAAAATTGCGAGTGCGCAACAACTCTCAAACAAATTTCGTAACCTATGTTTGTTTCCGTGTTTGTTTTCGTGTTGCATGACCGGAATCCTAGATGCCGATAGAGACTGGACAGGTTTTGCATGCTAACATTGGAGTTGATTCGCCTCATGGAAATCAGGAGTAACTGGGTGGGTGTATAAATACGACTAATGGCAGTTTATGATCTGTGCTTAATAGCGGTGCCCAAATGGTTGCCTTCTGAGTGTTGTTTGGTGAAGACATCTTTCTCCGCTCTATGTACTCTCATTCGTTTCAATCTCGATATGCTGTGGATAGTAATGATTTTCGTGTGTATAGCTATTCATACAAATATGTCAGCGAAGTATGAGCATTGAAGACTGACATTTTTCGGTCGATGCTGATAATTCTTACAAATATTGGGCAGCACCAATACTGGCAATTAGAAAAATAAATAGCTTATTTTGACGGTACACTTACTTTCACGCGGTGCAACAGTATGCAGCACCGGTTTTGAAATACCCATATACTAAGTTAAATGGGCCGTAGACAGTTTTTCAAAAAATACGTCAGGTGCCACTGTCCAGCTACTGCTGAGCAAAGCAGGCAAAAAGCACTGACGGTTGTTGAGCACCGGCGACTGTTTACGTACTATTCAACATGCAGTGGTTATCCGTACTTAGTGAGTTACTCTTCGTGACCACATATACTCAGGACTTTTACTGTCAGCAACTCATCATAGGAATGCAGGTCCCACTCAGTGCAGATGTCGTAACACGTCGGGAGTAGTGTACAGAGCCTGTTCCTGCAGTTGACCATCTGAATAGCACGTCACAATTTGCGTGAAAAATGTAAATATGTATTAGAAAATGTACAGAGAAGCTGTTCGATTGTCATTATCAGAAACACAAGGGAGCTGAAGGACTGTCTGCGGTTATATTGGTGGTCGTATTAAAGGGAAGCATATTACAAGGATGGTTCTTATAAATTCGGAGTGCTGTTGTATTGATGTGTAATAGGACTCGTAATTGCTGCTTGAATTGAACCCCTTGTGGATCTAACCCTGTTTCAGAGGATTTCCGAACCCTGGCCCCCTCCGGAAGACTGTACGCTCTTTGTGCCATGTGGCATCTCATGTCAAAGCACAAGTTCCACGAAGCTGCTCGTCTGTTGGCCCACTCCATTCATGCCTATCCAATGTCTGCCTGTTGGCTGTGGCGAGTAAGATTATGTGCGATTGTAGTATCTGACCCTTCTCCATGAAGACAGCATTTCATTTGTTCCGGAACCTTGATGCCTCGGACAGTTTCCGGCGGTTTAACGAGTGGGTTTTGTTTTAGTATGTTGGCTGGTGACACTGTGCTAATTCTTGCTTTTGTCTTCCTTGAAGACCTGGGTGGCAAACGAGTGGGTGGTACCGAACAGGTTGCTGGGATCTAAATTTCACTTGAACTTATGGTGTGGTGCTTCCCAACTAGCGTATTTCCTTCCGAACAGCGAGTAGGGTTTCAAGGGCGAATAGAGATATGCAGACCCAGTTTTCTACTCTATTGATTGGGAGGTCCCACTGACCGTCCGAGTTAAGCAACACTCATGTTCATTCACCTTCTATTCATTTCTGTTGGTTTACTCATCATAGCTGCATTTCTATGTCATCAACACCCCAAGACGACATATGCATGTTCGAATTGCGTGTGCTGTCCAAGCAGGCCGCACTAGACACGACTGCGCGTAATTTCGCCCTCCTGGATGCTTCAGATGGTGGTCAGCGGTGGTTTCAGATTTGCATTAACATTTCTGCTGCTTTCCATTATTCAGTAGTTTGGATTTATTGCTTGTTTCACTGTCCACTTCTACGGCACTTTATATGACGCAAAGTAATCGACCACAAGACTTGTTGGTTTGCAGTATATACCCACGGCACTTCACTGCAACATGAAAAGTGGTGCAAATTTATCTGTTTTCCCCGTTGGATTTTGTGACTCGTTTCACAGTGATCACTTCGGCATAATCTTGCTAACTAATCGATACGCATTAGTTACCAGTATATCAACACACTCGAACAGGTTATAAAAGCTTTTTTGTTCATCCACAATTAGTGCACTGGATCAGTTTCGCCTCTCGGATGAGAATAATCGGATTCTGGAACGCATTCTACAGCATATGGTTCGTGGAGAACTTGTGACTGCCTACCAGTGCCGATCGCAGAAAGTGGTAAGCTCATGGGTGTCTAACGAGGTCTACTAAGCCCTGTCGACCTTTACAATCCCATTGTATGCAGACAAAAGTGATTTGCTCCAAGCCCTAACTCAACCATAATCAGGAGTTTGTGTTAGTTTCCGGCTCAGCTGCCGGTAGCTGGCATTAAACCACGTAGCTTTTGTTACCTATGTACGCTGATTGATAGTGCGCTCCTCTTCTATTCTCGATTTTCTCGTACTTTGTATAATACTCTCATACTGAGCATGGAAATAGATAGTCCAAAAAGGATTCTTCGTCCTGAGGCATAGTTCTTCCAGGTGATAGGTTTTTGTACATTGGCTGAACTCAAACGAATGTTGTTTCATTGTCCAGTTCGTTAGCTGCATTATTCTTTTTACGTGAGACTAATTAATTCAAATAGGGTGAAAATACCAGCGCATGTTGTTACAAGTACTACAGTGACAATCACAGTCCGAATTAGTTGATTTTTGAGTTAATACACGGCCAATCTACTTGGCAGTTGTGGGAAATCAAATCCAAGTTTGGCTAGTCCACGGTGCTATGTGTACGGGGGTATATAAAAGGCACTGCTAAGCGGATCGTGGAGTCGTGCAGTCTGTGGAACGGAATCACTCATGAGAAAATATCACATGTCACCTAGGTTCCTATTTAATGCAGCCTAAGTGGAGTCCATTATCCCACTTGGTTTAGAGGGGTGGTAGATGGCCCTGGCTACTGTCCGGGTGGGTACTATCCCCACCCACCGCCCTTAAAAGACCTAGGTGGTCCACCACCTAATGTGTTTGGTATCACTGCCAACTCATTTGGGTCTTTTGTGAGATTTTCGCGCCTCTTTAATACTACTCCATAGTCCATAGCCGTATTTGCCAGAAGATGCTATCAGAACCATACATATATATTCCTTGAATATTTGTCCGTTGTTAGTCATCTGGCCGGCTAGTTTGCTGAAAGTACACTTTCACATCTTTGTACCGTAAAAGGCATATCTTATGCAGCCAATATAAACTCTTCCATCTGTTCAAAATCTGAGATATATTTGAAACCAAGGTGAGAAATCATCATGAACACAGGTCACTTTCTTGGCATTCCGTAGCTATTTACGTAAAAAGGACGTTACTTCCACCTAGGAGGTAACCGTCTCCACATCTTGGTGAATAGCAGAACCTTACGATCACTCCTTATTTTGAGCACATTATCCAGAACCCGAAAATTAATTGGCGAATAACCAATGCAAATATATATCTGTCTGTCCGACGGCAGTTCCACAACGTTCTCAGGAGGACGACCAGAACGGTGTCTTGGTGCAAATCGGTACGCTTATCTTCCCTATTAGAAACTCAAATGGAATTCGTTGGATGAAGTGTCTTAGTAGATGTAGGAGTGAACAACCACCGACTTTCTAATCAAAAACGCGGAGGTCAATAAAGTTTGACCATAACGGATTGTAGGATTGCCATGATGCCTATCGCTATATTCGACTTGAATGCTGTCCTTTTCCCTCAGACTCCGCGGGACCGTTACACTTCCTCGGCAGCACTTGTCACAAAGGAACCTGAATATGATCATGTTCAACGTTTGCAACACCTCTATGAAGGATTGTCTTTGTACGGCTTGTGGCTCGAACAGATGCACAAGTCCGACTCACTGGGTGAGTTGCATGTGAGCGAATTTAATAAATTTGGATTGGATGGATAAGTGTAAGTGTGCAAGTTTCTCTCAGTATAGTGATTGTCACCAGTTTGATGACGCCGACGTGACATTAGGTTATCCGTCAAGAACGAACTATTGTTCACAGACCAACGAGAGGCGCACACCCACAAAACGAACACCGAATAAGACTGGAGTGTGATATATTTAGCAGGACTGACGAAAAGTGGCAAGCCTTCGGTGAACCGTGGTTTCTGCGCAAAACGGAATTTCGCGGTAAATGGATATGGCCTACAGAGACACTGGTTATCCAACCTTTGTAGAGAATCGCGGAGACTGCCATAAGTACATAGGGTTTTTAAGCTAAATCCCGTAGAGACAACCCAGTTGCCTGGATACACCACAAACGAGAGGTTCAGCTGCGTTCCAGGTGAGCCTCTTGCAAAACCAAATTCGTTTGCAAATGAGTGTTTTTCGACAATTCTGTGTAGTTTGGTTTGAAGTAGAACATGAGGTTGACGGAAACTCGTACGCCTACCCTACCTGATGAGTCCCAAAAAGAGCGAAACCGTTCGTGGGCTTTCGAAGAATTTTTAGCAACCTTATGAGTAGTGTATTATGTCTATACATGTATCGTGATGTTCCAAATGTCTTACCAAATGAAACATAAGGCGGCTTGGTGTAGCACATTCAGTTGCCTGGGAACATTACAATCAGATGGGTTCCAGGTGAGTCTCACGCAAAATTAGATTCGTTTGCAAATGAGTGTATTTCTCCATAAACAGCCCAGTTCATCATTTGTCTTTATGAACCACAGCCGATCACTCCGCTTTATGATTATCATTTATCATACAGGAGTGCATGGTCGAGACCTGTCTGGCTCGACATATAGGCCTAAAATCATCCTATTCACCCCTCCGTAGTAACCATATTGTCAGACTGTACAAATAAGCATGGCAACAACCTTGCCACATAGGTTTCACACTTCAGCGGCCGATAAATGGAAAGGGCATCAATATTCCATTTTTCAAGCCAGTGAGTTGCACTTAGAAGTGATCGGTCCAAGTGGTTCCTCACAAGCGCTCTCGTCCTGTTATTTTTCGTCCACGTGAGCCCTATTCAAAAGATAGTCCCAACTCTTGGTCTTCCCCATAAATTTTCTCGCTGATTTCACTTTAGTGGACAAAGCATCAACCTCCCCGTTTTTGTGCCCGCACTCTTCAATTCTCAAGCTACATTCGATTCAGCCTAATGGTTGTACCACACGGTGCTTGAAATTGTGCTGTTGTTTTTTTCGCTTTTGGGGAAGAATCGACACGGCACCACATAACACCATTACGGACGCATCGGTGTGTTATCATTTTGGCTTTCAGCACAGTCACCATTCTCGCTAACCTGACCGTTAAACTACGGCCAGATGTAAGAATTTGTTCCTTTCCGAAATTGACAACTGAATGAAAGACAAAGAAAAGCGCTAACTGATATCTCAGCGCGCTACATGGGCAGCGGTAATAGTACGAATGCTGTTTTTTAAGTTATTTACACATCGGCCGATTCCCCGTTATGATATCAAGAAAATAGGCTTTGATCAGAACATCAGGAACGATTGGTATCAGCATGTACTCTGAAGTTGAGGACACATCCATCTTTGGTGCAACGATGTCCTTCGTAAACGACAGCATTCTACACGGATTAATACGAGACTTCGCGTCTTATGTGCTCTTTGTGTTCGAGGGAGATATTTCTACTAAATGCCGAGGTAAGCACGCCTTGACTGGATAGAAAATCTCGTGGCTCACCGCAACTTATCCGTTCGCGTTGTGGGTGTTTGTTGTTGGGATATCAAACTGTAGAACTGTTCATCAACCTTCATCAGTCATTAGGGACAATAACATCATTGTTGACATATATGCTTCAATTGCATACAACCAGACAGCTTATTAACTTATATTTATAGTCTTAGATTGAAAAGAAAAACAAGAGAATGGGTGAGGGAGTGAACTTGTGCTCGCCTATCGCAAGCATACCCCTCCAAGCGTTCAATCAGATCAACTGGAAAGAAACCGATTACACGAATGCCACTGATATTTATCAGTCGCCATTTCGTGCAGTGTCTCCAGCCAAGCACATGGCGGGTAACGGGGACTCCATCCTGGATGGTGGACTGCGCCAATAACACCTAAACCCTTCTTTCACACCCTTCTGCTAATTCATACGTTGTCTATCTGGAGGTGTACGCTGTTCTGAAAGAGGCACAAAGAACAACACTTGTCCTGTTAGATGCTTTTTCGCCATGCATTCCACATAGCCCAGCCACCGTAATTGGTGGAGCTGGATGTTTTCCGTGGTTGACCTACCTGCTGCACCACTAAATACCCGTTTTCTAATTAACTCTTTACGAACTCGTTGAACCTGACATCAGACTCGCCTTTGAGGCCTCGTTGGTCAAAAGGCAGAGGATACTCCACCTCGTCTGTCTCGTAACCGTACAACAATACAGCCCTCACTCTACCCTGATCCACGCGAGCCTCAAGACTCCGTAGTATCTCATTTCGACACCACGCGTGACGCAAATTAGCAAACGTGATTCTGGCCTTTGAGGTTCGTGTATCAGCTTCATCAGTCACTTCCGTCAGAGCTAATACGATTAAACAGATATGTCAAACTCTTCACAACTTCCAGTGATTCTCTTTGATTTATAAGGAGTCTGCCGAGTCTGTATGTTCTCAAACATGACTCAGCACTTTGAAGGTGCGAGGCGCTTACCGAGAACTGTTGTGATGGTGGTCATTTTATTCAACGGAGCTTTTGCTTCGCCTTCGTTTTCGAAGATAAGGACGATGTCGTCTACTTGCTCCAGATCGACAAGGTTGTTACCAATAACGCTCTGAACACCGGGGTTTTGAAGACCTTCCAGTGTCCGCCTCATTATTTCATCGACGACGAAGTTGAACGCGAATGGAGAGAGTGGACATCCTTGTTGGGCACCACTTTTTGCAGGTACCCTTTGGGAGAGCTTCACATTTACTCACACTCAGAAGTATGTGAACATAAGGACCGGATTATGTTAGAAAAACATCTGTTGCATAAGCCGTTGAGCGAATGGTCAACAGCACTGACCTATCCACAAAACCGAGTGCGTCCTTAAAGTCATGGAACACCAAGATTCTCGGTCGGCTTTGTGGTAACATCTGATAGAGTGTGAAGGTGTGGTCGACACAGCGTCTGCCCATTCGAAATCCCACCTGATACCCACCAGTCAAGGATTCGCATGCCACCGTGAAAGGACGAAAAATCACTAACTCCAGAATATTTTTCACATCAGGAGTCAAAGTTTCACCCCGTTGGTTGCTATATTCGCTGGGAGTACCCTTTTTGAAAATGGGCAGTATTCTTGATTCCCTCCAGTTATCTGGAACGGTCTCATTTTCCCAGATAGACTAGACGGACATTGAGTGAGAAATTCACTACTATCTTTGAACACAGAAAGCGGAAGTTTGTCAGGGCATGAAGCGCGATGACGCCTGAGTAGGGACACTTCTGAGGCTTTCTTTGGGTGGCATGGAAGCTAGGTGCCTAAAGTGTGTTGCAGCTGAAGGACTTTTGAGGCTGAGGGAGTTCCATGTTCACAGTTCATCTTTCCGTTGTAAGCCGACAGTCCGGATCGGAGGTAGCCAGTGGCCAACTGAATTGCTGTTCCAAGTAGTATGTTCAAACGTTCTCCTCTGCTGCCTATCAGGACCAATCAAACGAATCAATTGTAACAGCCTGTGAATGTTTCCAGTAGTGAGGGAGTCGTGAGCAGTAGCATGTTTTCGCTTACCCGACATGCTGTATGCAGCAAGTAAGGCGACCCGGCTGATGACACCACGCAACAGCCGATTTGTCTTAAGTGTATTGTTAGTTGTGAGTTTCATGGTTGTAGGCGGGATACCGCCAGGGTTCTCGGATCCAGACTGGGGGACGATTAGGGTCCTCAACCAAATCTTTTGACTCAAAATCCTGACCACAAAACAACGGGTTTGGAAAAGAATGCAAGTACATTACCATCTTTGTAGAACAAGTCGCTATGCATGTTCTAACTCTCAACATGGAGGATCGGGGGGGGGGGGGGGTCGTGTTAGTCAGACATCTAACCACTAATCCACCTGGTATAAGAGACTCTGCGAGTGCCGCACGGAGGCACACTGGCCGCCATCACAGTAGTACGTCTCTACATGTCGTTCACTTTGCTTTCAATTTTGAAAGGAAAGATGAATTGCTGTCTACGAATAATTCGAACTGATCGCTTAAACGTCGTAAATGCACTTTGATATTACCGATCAAAAGCGATGATTGTCGCGGGTACACGATGATCAGAATCTACTGTGCATGTTTTATAGAGGATCAGAGCACATCACCTTCACGTATAGGGAAACCCTATACTCGCTCCAGGTCAACCACATGCTCACCTCAAAAAAGCGTGTCACGAGACTAGCTATCAACAACGAGAGTCAACTGTTTTCCAATTAACTGAAATGGTGGGCTTTAGCTTTTGATGAAAATAATCTAATCCCGATGTTTCGTATTTTCGCTCTTCATCCGGAGCATCTGACAGAACATCGGATCAACTATCCTCAACTAATAAATATGGTTGTCGGAATGAAAGATGGACGTGTCCGTCACACCCCATGGGTTATGCTAGTTAGATGCCGTAATTAATATACTGGTCATCCATCTACAAGGAAGAGCCCGTTTTGACAAGGCGTGTTCTGAGTAAAAACGTCCCAGACAACGACTTGACAGAGAAGCACAAAATCACTAACCTGAATACCATTCGATTCGTGAGATACTGTCTCACGGAATCAAGATCACGACGTGGGCGTGTGAGGACTTGGAAACACTGAAGCCAAAACCGGGTCGTCTAGGTATTTTGTGTCATATTTTTTGCCTCCAACGTGTGTCTGTTCACGATGCTCCTTGATAAGTCCCTGGATGCTTGCTTCAGTTATCATCATTTCTCAACACTGTTTTAGGCGAACTAGCCCAATCGGCCACCTTCCATGCGTCGTCTTCTCATTGATCGTTAAGGGTGTAGCTGCGATTTTCGTCTCTCCCGATCCCTCGAAATCGTGCTTAACCAATCTACCTATTCTCTGCTTTTGCGCGCACACACGCAGTAACTGCGACCACGTGATTATTGCGGGGCTATGACTGCAGACCTGGCCTCTTCCCTGTGAGACGGCCCAAGTGGTTAGAGCGCGAATTTACTGACCAGAACATCCGGGGTTCGAACCCGACCTCTGCCTCTCGACTCCCCTGTCTAGGCTTGGGCAACCTGGCAGTATCCCACCCCCCTTGCAGCCTTCGGGTGGTATGGCAGTTAGGCACCGAAAGGGTGCTACAGCTGAGCGATTTTTTTCTTCCTGTGACACTCGCCGGGATGGTTGACCCGGGAATGGCACTGTTCTGCTAATGGCTAAGTTAACTGAGGTTGGATGACCCCCTGGCCTGAGGTTTGAAATGGGCTCCCTTATCTTCATACAAATCCGCGCAGTCAGCTCGGGAACTGGCGTGGAGCATTTTTTTCACGACGGCTAAAAAACTGGCTCGAATACTATCAACTTACAACATAGGGAGACCAAGTTTGTGAGTGAACATAATAGCGGTCCTGTCAGGTGCAGTGATATTGCCTCAAGCCGCGTGTAGGTTTCTGTGAGATAGTGTTTGATAGTATTAGGAGTCTCTTAGTTGACCCAACTTTGGGTAACCTGGCTCTTAGCACGATTTCGAGGGCATCAGGACAGATGAAGATGATACCCACACCCGCAGCAGTCAGTGATACATGGATTATGAGCGAGAATGACGATGCATGAAAGGTGGCTAACTGGGCTAGCTTGCCCAAAATAATCTTGACAATTTATGATAGCTAAAGTGAGCGTTGTGAATAGACATATTAAAGGCCAAAAATCTTATACAATAGTGCTCGTGCGCAAACGATTCGGTTTTGGCTTCAGTCCTCACACGCCCGCGTCGTGATCTTGATTCCGTGAGACAGTATCCCACGAATCGAATGGTATTCAGGTTAGTGATTTTGTGATTCTCTGTCAAGTTGTTGTCTGTCTGCCTTTGGGACGTTTTTACCCAGAGCACGCCTTGTCAAAACGAGCTCCTCTCGGTAGATGGATGACCAGTATGCTAATTGCGATGTCTAACTAGCGTAACCCGGGGTGTGTGACAGACACTTGTCCAGGATATTTCGTTTATTGCGCAAGCGGTATGATTTACTGTATAAGCTAACCCGGACTAAATACTTCTGATGAAGTTTTATTGGCAACGAATCATCGATACATCACGCCCGTGTGTAGTGGCCGGCTTTCGGCAGTCGATCGCCTGACATGAAACTCTCGCCTGAGTTCACTACATCAGGTGGTGTCAGGGGAGGCTCTTCTCTTCAACTTTGTCATTGATATGATTGTGGGACACTCACCTCCAGCCTCTAATTTCCGTGAGATCGAAATGTTCCCAGAGCATTCGGTCACAGATATCGATTGCGCAGACGATATTGCTCTTTTTGGATCTGACACCACTGTAACGCAGACAACATTCAGTAATCTAAATAATTCTACCTCACGGTTTGACATGCGCTTCACACCTTGAATGGGGAGATTAAACACACGCACTTTTATCGAAGGTACGTAGACGATATTTTTATGGTAGTACCAAACCGTTCCGAAATGGATGCTCTCTTGACCAACTTCAAGCAGGCACATCCCTCTATTCAATTCACTTTTGAAACTAAAAGTGACAACGCTTTCCACTTTTTGGGCGCTAAGTTAGTCAGACTCTCCACGGGGTCAATTCAGTGATCCGTCTACAGAAAGCCCACGTAGACGGGACAGTACACAAACTTCCTGAGCTTTGTGCCACTGAGGCGGAAACGAACCCTGATTCAAACTTTAACGAACCGAGCAAAACGTATTTGCTCTGCTGATACACTGGACTCCGAACTGCAGCACATTGCTAACGTGCTCCGAGCCAATGGTTATCCGGAGAGGTTTATAACCAAGAATATG